TGTTCTCAGCATTTCAACTTGTTATAGCCTGTATATAAGCTGCACCACCCGCATTTGAAAAGAAAATCAGTTTTGTCCGCATATACAGTAGGTTGCTCTGGAACATAACCAGATTTTAATGTTGTATGCCACATCATTTAATGCCGGGGTGTTTTACAGGTTCACCGTTAGCTTGGATGGCGTCTTAGACAGACTTTATTGATCCACAAGGGAAATTGCGTAGTCACAGTAGCTTGCATAGAATTCTACAAAAAACAACAATAAAAGTAAACAACCTGAAAATAAGAACAATAATAATGAGATAAGATACTATTGTGAGAATAGAATAATATGGCTATAGGTACTCAGGAATAAACATATCTGTGAATATGTTTAAATACATTTACAGTTTAAAATACTGGATAACAGCATAATACACATCTGTAAACATACAATATATACAATAGTCATAATAATTCAATAAACAATGCTCTGACAACAGCGCAATTCTACCGTAATAAAAATACAATATTAGCCACAACACTATGTAGCCGCAGGGTTCAAAGAATTAGAGAAAGTGAAGGCTTATGGTCCAGAAATTATGGTAGTTGTTTCTCCTTGTCATTTGCAAACTCAAAGCTGTTTTTTTAGAGTGGTCTCAAGTCAAATTTTCTCTTAAATCTGAGATGCCACTTTTCCCACTGTTTATACTTGGGTCCATGTTCGAAGTTTGGCAACATCTAGGCCTAAAAGCATTGGCGTTTTAAAGTGTTTTTTTTTTTCACACTGTAGCCTTGACACGTTGTCTAGACTCGTGTCAACTTTTTACCACAGGAGAAGACAAGAACTTAATGTAAATCAACGCTATATTTGGTTGACCTAGTCTAGCAAGAAAGTCCTAAAAGTTCAAATCCTGGTGGGCAGATGCCCTTTCTTCTTGGGGCCAGGACTGGGGGCCTTTGAGCATGTGCTGTAGACCAGCTACAGCTCTTCATACCCTATTCCAGGGGTGTTCAAACCTTATTGTAAGAGGGCCACTTTAGTTTTAGCCACACTTTTCCAGGTGCCTACAATCTGTATTTTCTGAGCTTTTAATAAATATGGGGTATAAAGACCAGGGACGTGCGGTGAGGTTTGTGATTGGGGAGGCACTGACTTTAACAGTCAGATTTACCATCATTATTCCAATAAAATAGCATTAAATCGTCAATGCAAAAACGTCCACAAACATTATATACTGTGAAGATAAGAACCAGCATATTATAAAAAATCCCACAACACATCTAGACACTGGCCCTCCGCTCCGCATCAAACCAAGTCTTTGTGAAGCACAGGTGCGAGAGACGGGAGGAGGGAGGGAGGGAGAGAGGGAGAGAGAGAGACACAAGGAGCGAGAGATGCAAGGGGAGAAAGAGAGAGACGCTAGGAGAGAAAGTGACGCAAAGAGCGTGAGAGAGAGACGCAAGGAGCGAGGGATGCGACGAGAGAGAAAGGGAGAGGCGCTAGGAGAGAGAGAGAGAAACACAAACAAGAACATGAGCAGTGTTAAATCAGTGTTTTTCGGGGAAGCACTTTTATGCAGCTTCTCTTGTAAATTTTCAATATAAAACACAGACACTGACAACTCCTCCCCGCGGCCGGACTAACCTCGTCAGTCCAGCGGTGGTCTTGTCTATATTACTTCTTGCTTTGATTGAAAGTCCAGTTGAGAAACAAATCCTCAATCCAATCATCCATTTTCCAGCAAAAGAAATAGCACCGACGGGACTGATTGTTGGTTAGCAAAATATTTACAGTCTGTGTTAGCAACTCGGGTAGAACTTCATGCTCACCCCTAGCGGTGAGGCACAGACACTGCCTGCCTCACACCAAGCTTTTACCATGTGTATTCTTCTCCAATCAAAAGACTTCAAATAATTATATACACATACGTGCAATACATTACACGTTATTATACTTATTATACTTTATAAGCATAGGACAGTGGAAAACAATTATATATTTTGACTATATTAATAATTATTTTTTCAATGATGGCAGGGGAGGCAGCCTCCCCTGACTGCACATCACTGATAAAGTCCATATTTATTTGCAGCACTATCTTGGTGGAACTGAAGTTTCCTAAATGGTACTGTGAAATTACCTCAATGGCTAATTGGTTTAGCAAGTCAGGGAGCCACAAAACATGACATAGCAGGCCGCATTCAGCCAATAGGCCTTAGTTTGGACATGCCTACCCTTTCCAGTGGTTCAACTAGATCTATAGATGGCTCATAAGTGACAGGTGTCATATACAGCAAGCAGAAGCACATCATGGTTTTTTTAAATTATCTGCAATATCTCTGATCCTGGTTCTCCTAAATTGTTCCCATTTGCTGTATGTCCGCACACCTGTCTCAAAAACCTTAGCGACTGCCATTTGTCCGCTGCTCAGACAATCTCCCAGATTTAATGACGGTCCAAATGTGATGCAATTTGGTCCTCTGGTAGAAGCTCATTTAGCGCCTCATCTTCATCACTGAGAATAGAGAGAATCATGGATAATTACTTAAACCTAATGGCACGCTAATTATCAGGGTTAAAATCGCCGTCCACGAGCAGGCTAAAAATAAGTTGTCAGGTGGAAGAGAAGATGGATTTAAGAGAATTCAAGAAACTGACAGAAGTTGACTAATTTGGCCCATTTATGAATTGAATGTGTTTGAGGTGTTCTTTTTCCGAGTGTTTGGGCCATTTTAGAGTAAGGATCTCAGCAATCAAACACCTGTGATAGATAGAAGTAGGGAATTGTAGCATTGTTGGTTGTCAACATCAAAACATCGTGAGCATTTGAAGAAGCACTGTTGTGTGCCAAGAACTTTATTTGACTTGAGAGATTCCCAACACTAATTTGGAGGAATAACTTTTGTTTTGCTCTTATTTCAAACAAGCGTAAACAGGAATCTTGAGGGGTTGTTTCTCTGATCTGAAAAAGGGCATACAAAATAGGCTTCCAGGGTACTTATTTTAGGCATAATTTTTCATTATGTCAAAATTTGATACACAATTCCCTGTAGATAAAATAGGCCTATGGGCTTTATAATAACCACAAGTGCATTTTCTGACTGTTATGAGGAGTAAATCACAATGAAGTATATTTTACTGCAGGTCAATTACTGTGCATTCCAAAAATAACTCAAAAAATGAATCAAAATCCCTGTTTTATTTTCTCTCTATACTCAAACAATTATGCGTTTAGTTGTACTACATATATGACTCAAATAGAATCAGTTTTGCCTCAGATTTAAACCATAGACGAAAACAAGTGTGAACGCTTTATCGACTCTGCACCAGTTCCAGAAATCTGACTGTTCAGATCAAAATGAAGCCTCTCACTTTCTCAGAAACAGAGTGTCCAGATTATGCCTGAGCGGCTACTCACTTACTGGTCAGATTAGAAAAATGTAATAATGTCTGGAGAGAGGCCAGAGTGATGTCTCTCCCTGCACCAGGTCTTAATGAGAGAGCAGAGACCAACAGAGTCTGCACCGGGGGAAGAATGGATGCTTAAGACAACCAAAACACCAAGATGATTTTAACATGTTAGAATAGTTTATCTTGATATTTTACCGACTCTAAATATATTCACTGTGATGCATGTATTTTCGAGTTGTTCAGATGTTGTATTATTTGCATGGTACCACTCCTAGTATTGTTATTTTAAAGGACACATTATGCAAAGTTATTTCAATATAATTATAATAATTAAGATTCAATTAAAATGTGTATAGCCCTGAAACACAACTGTCTTTGAATGTTGAGTGTCTTGGATCATCACCACTGCCCTAAAACCCTCCTGCATCAACAAGGAAAAACTCTAAAAACCCAGTAGGAGAAAATGAGAAACCTCGGGGAGCCCGCTCCAATGAAACCAGGACTCAGGCTGCAGAATAAAGACCAAGGCCACGCGTGCACTACTGAGGCAGCTCCCAGGCGTGGAGGGGGTGCAGCCCACAAGTTTGAGTTGGGGGAAGACGGTCCACAGGTGCAGATGGAGGAGGCCAGGTTCAGGGGTCCCATCATCAAGACATGAAACAGAGAAGGGGACAGGGGGTGAATAGCAATGAACAGACTACAGCTGAAGTCATAATGACGACAAAAAAGTTGGAAAGAGGAGAGGATAATGCTGAACTTACCATACTTCTCCCAGCATAGTGACTCCATATGCAGCTTGACTGACCTGGTCTGTGTTTTTATACTTACAGTAAGCTTACATATCTACTCATATGCTAAATTAAAAAAGGACCATTTAAAGTATGTGTCTGCTTTCTTGACGAGGATGGGAAACTGATTCTACAGTAAAGTGAGCTTTGAACTTAACTGTTTGACTGTGCTTTTTGACACTTAGCGAACCACCAGACGCTTGGTGTTTTGCGAGCGCATTGCTTGGTTTGGTTGGCATGACACTATCGTGTCTTGGAGGTAGGATGTGCCATGCCACATGCAGAAGGATTTTACATTGGCTTACAGTCCACAGGATGCCAGAGGAGTGATGTTTACACTGGAATTATGTGTTCCCTCATTTTTCACAGAGGATTTAGTGCACGCAGCCAGCAGGGTGTGACAGTAGTCAAGCCTTGAGGTGACAAATGTGTGGATCAGTTTTTCTGCAGAACTTTTGAGGATATTCCTGATTTTGTCTATGTTGCACAGGTGTAAATATGATTCTTTGGTTGTTTGATTTACAGTATATTTATCTTAGAACAGAGTTCTTGGTCAATAACGACTCTAAGATTCCTTACTGTGTTGTCACGCTAACGTTATGAGTGTGATTATCTGATCAGTGAGGGAGTTGCACTTACGTTTGGGGTCATGTAAGATCACTTCTGTTTTACCACACAAACATATTCAATAAAAAACAAGGTGAACAGAATAGATTTTTAACAATTAATAAAAAAAAATTGTGCTTAAAAATCTGGACTATTAAATTATAATTACACAAGTAGCTTTTAAAACGGTCTTTAGATTAGTGCACAGTGCAGTTAGCAGGCGCGTTTCAGACTCATATTCACAGAGATGGTTGTGACTGGACTGGACAGAATAAACAGCAGATAAAGTTAATTATGAATGATATGTGGAAATACTGTGATACCCTAATGCACATTCTTACCAGTGGAGAATGAGAAGTGATGAACACTAATCTCATTACTACTGTTTTGTATCTTGTGATGCAACACTGACATTTCCAACTCACAGACAAAGCAGCAGTGTCCATTGTTCATTGTTCATAGAAGGACAGACCTGTGGATTAGTCTGTCTCTGAAGCTGATCCCCAGAGCAGGGGGCGCAGTCATGGTCCAACATGGATGTTAGTTTGTCCAAGACTGCCCTTTTCCACCTGCTGCATTGTGTTGGACTCGTTGAGAAGCTGGACTTCCTGATTGTTTGACTCTGACCTTTATTTGATAGAAGCTTTTGCATCAGTTGGTACGTAGCTACAATTTCCACTAGTACGAAGGGTTTCTATTTATTCTAATACTAGGTTTCTTTTCTCAATATCAGTGGGAATTGTGTATTTTGAAAATAAAATCTCTTGCTGTCTCAAAAACAAAAAAATAATTGCTGCTCCTCTCTGAATAGTGAGGCCTTGAGTCTCAGACTTTTTTAGACTATTTAACCTAAAACTTGTACACTTGTGTTGACTTGGTGGTGACCTGATGGCAACAGGCTTTTTTACAGTGCCGTCGCTGCCACAAACAGAGATATGGTAACTGTGGCTATATTTTTTGGATTGAGACTTTTAATTCATTTCTTGCCCCTAAAGAATGACAATCTATTTGAATTCGCTGAGACATGGGACTGCGATCTGCATGAGCTCTGGTGTGTACCATCCTGTGCACACCAGGGTAGTCTTGCACCCTCATTTTAATGTGGTTTTACTGCAAATGGCAAATAAACTGAATCTTGATCCAACACAAGCCATATGTTAATAATGAACGTATTTCACTGGAGAAATAAAAAAAAAATAGAGAGGAAATATTATGGTTTAAAAAGACAGAAATCAACCCTTGACATTTGCAATCCCTTTCGCAAAGCTACTGAGTGCTACTTTTATACCCACAGAACCTGACTTGAAGAGAATTTGTGAACTCAATATAACAGCTCTCTATACCAGGGGCCTCCAACCTTTTCTATTTGAGAGTTGCTTTTGTGAAACAGCAATTGCAGAAAATTACTCCTTTTAGCAGTTGTAATCCAACTGTAGTTTATATGATAACTACAGCTAGTCATGGAGAACACACATACAAAATACAGTACACCATTATACCATACAGTACCTCTGTATTAATGACAAGATTTAGGGTAAAAAAAATACATGTAATGACTCAAAAGATCCTTCAGAATCCTGTGTTAAATACTTGAGTCCTTTGGAGAGCTACCTTATGACTCCATCACACTGCCACCTACTACTTATTTGTTTTTGTGAAGTTGCAGAAAAATTGCATAGTTTAAAGTTGCAGGTTGCACTGATTTCGCAGAGTTTGCCTGATTTTGCGTTAATAGTTGCTTTTGAGCGACAAAGATCTGTTCAAGAAGACACTTCTGATATTGCTTTGGATCACAGAAAATGAAAATAGAAGTGGCATAACTCTCCACATCCCAGATGGAGGTAAGGCATTGGGTGCAGTACAACACAACACTGAATTTAAGATAAAGTAACAAACAAAAAAGCTAGAAACGAGCAACAGGATCTGGCGCCCTGTGGAATATAACAATCAAACTAATCAAATCAAAAGGATCGCGAAACAGAACCGGGACATCCTTTGAAGTGACCCTCCTGTATTTGCTGTAAGAAGAGCTACCCCTCTCAGTGACAATTTAATGACAAAAAACAACCTGTATATTTTCATAAACTGTACTTCTTCGAGTGCACTAAAGAGGTTGTGCACTAAATTCTGGAGTTCCGGTTCCAAGTGTAAAGCATGTTTTGTTATGGTTCTGTTTGTTTTGCTCTCCCCCTCCCATCCTGTTTTCTTAACCCTGGTCTGCCCATCACTCCTCTGCTTGATAATTCCATCACATCGTTAGTGCTTTGTCCGTTTTTTGGCTACTTACCCGTTTTGGGGTTACACACTTACCTGCTCTCCTATCTCCAGATCCCGTACTTTGTCCAGCCCTGGTTTGTTTATTCTTCACTCTATTCTCCGGACGGCCTGCTCCCTGTCTCCTCTACGCTATTCCTTTTGGAGAATGTTTCTGTGTTTTGTATCAGTAAGACTCTGGAAACCGCTTTAGCCTCCCTCTGCTTTGGGGTTCAAAACTCACCCGTAACATGTTATCTGTTTTGAGACTGTCACCATTTTAAAGTGTTTTTGTGATCATGTTAATGTGAGGCCATTTGATTATTATGTATGAATCTTCATGTATATGTTTTTCTATATTGATAATGTTCTCTATTATGCTGTGTAGATCATGTGGCATTTATCGATTATATTTTAAACACACCTGGTACCCTGCAGTCTATCATATTTATTTTATGTATTTGCTTTTAAGAGTGCCTCAGATTTTCCTCCTTTCTCCAACGTTGGATTTAACCATGGATGTTTTTTCAACTCTTCCAACGAGAAGCGATCGCCAGGGTCCTTCTCCAAGCATCCTCCCAGAGCGTCTCTGCATTCTGCGCACATATACACAAACGCATACACAAGTTAGAATTGTGTTCCAGGCCATGTACTCATTCAGTCCCATGAAGAAAGGCCCAATAGCAGAATCTTCATCTATAAATGACTTGTATTTACTCTGGGAGTGATTGAGAAGTGGCGGGAAGATTAGAAACCACTACTATTCTAAACTGTTGCCAATTCATATTATTTAGTCATAGTAAGAATGGAAAACTATTTATTTGATATGGACACAACAGTTACATTGACCTGCACTGTATTTAGTGTTGTAACAAGACCATGCTAATATTCAACACTCAGGCGTCAATTGGAGGCTTTTAGGAGCTGATTGGCACACTGTTATAGAGTCAGAACAAGCTACATGTATGGTAAAGTTCCATTTTGTGTGGTTTCAATGTTAGGTACCCCAGCTTTTAAAAAGTACATTCACAAGGTGCTCTCTTAAATCCTGAATTTTACCTTGTGAAACAGAATTGGGGATAGGGACTTTGCTCCAGGATCCCAGGGTTTTCTTCTTAACCACAGGCTTCTTGTTGAAGAGCATGATGTAGAGTATGAGCCCCAGCTGCCACACGGTGGTGGGACCCACAGTGTACGGTATGCGCCTGAACCACTCCGGACACGAGTACGCGATAGCTCCTGCAGCAAATAGAAAACAGAGAGGTGTCAACATGAAAGAATGAAGGTCACTTGTACATTTATACAAACCATCACAGAGCAGTAACTTCACTGCAGAAAGACCGACACAGTGCAGGCTGAGCAAAAGCTTACTTTACCTACCCTTTTTCCAATCAATCAATCAAACAATCAAATTCAATCTATAATTCCCTTTTAATGAAAAACATGCAACATAAAATGCTTTGAGTTTGGTTAAGCAATCCCACATGCCCATGACAAATATTAAGAACACACACATACAGTTCCACTCAGGGCTGGACTGGGACAAAAAAACGGCCCGGGCATTTTTTCCTTCTTACCGGCCCAGGCATGTTTTTGTCACGTTTTTTACAGTTTGATTATACCAGGGATCGGCAACTCAAAAGGTTCAAAGAGCCATCCATCCATCCATTTTCCACCCTTTAATCCATTTCTGGGTCAGGGGGGTGGCAGTCAGAGATGCCACCCAAGTCTCATAGCACCATGAGCCATATTTGACAAAAAATACTAAAAACATCTGTCTGGAGCCGCAAAAAAATAACAGCCTTGTATAAAGCTTATATGAAGGTTACACAATGTAGCTACATTAGCTACATTAGCCTGATATCTAAATGACCAAGTAAAGGCTACAAATACATGATTAGCATTCATGATTGTCAAATGTGTGTTTTCACTGCAGCGTGTCCTGGAGAGAATGACGCACCACGTGATGACTCTGCTTTAACTTTGACTTCCATTTTTTTGCCTTCATGCAACTGTAGAAATACAGTAAATAAATCTGCTTTTTGGCTCAAAGGTCACACACCTGCACTGTCCGCTCATATCGATTACGTCACAGGCTGAAGTTTGCTGGAGCTGAATGTCCTTAATGGCCTTTTCTTTCACAGTCTTTGCGGAGGTTTTTGAAGTCTGAAAAAGGTGCTCCGGATTTTGTATGAAAGAATCCTTCACGTAATCCCTGTGAACGGTATTTAGTGCTTCATTGTTCCTCGTGTTGCAACAAAACTTCCTATTACATCGCAAACATGAAGCAGTCCTTCCTCATTGACTGAAAGCAAATGTTCAGTCTTGTTCTTAGTCCAGTCTTATTATCGACTCGTTCTCTTTTTATCTTTGGGATCCGTGCGCACACGCCGGTTTGTTTACAGCAGCGGCCGTCTGCCGCGGGGCCGCGCCACAGGATATGACTCACTACGTAGACAGAAATGTTGAAATTGAATATTACTTATACACATTTTTACAGCATTGAAATACGTTAGGAATGTTTTTCCTCCTACAGAAACCACATTCAAACTAGGAATAAAATATAGCCCTCCCACTCCATTTTCAGACATTTTTGAAAAGGCTCCAGGAGCCACTGGAGGAGCACTAAAGGTTGCCGACCCCTGGTTTATACAGTATGTGGAAGCATACTGTAGAGCAGGGGTGCTCAATACGTCGATCGCGATCTACCAGTCGATCGCAAAGGTAGTATTGGTAGATCGCATTAAATAAATAAAAAATTACACATTCTAAACAAATATATACAAAAAACTCCGGGCAAAGTGGAGATTTTTGAAAACTCCGTTAATGCATTTGTGTGTAGACAGAGATAACCGGAGTTTTGCGTTCTCGCACGCCACAGTACCCCCCTAAATTCCTCTGATCACTGAAGCATGGATCTTACTACCTTAAAAACTGTTCGCTGTGAGATGCTCCCAGCATCCTCCACATCAGAGAGCAGCAAAGTGATCGCGGGGACTCACGCTCGAAAACAACCAAACCAGGACTAAACCAGGACTAAACCAGGACTAAACCAGGGCTGAGGACGGGGTCAGTGCTTGTAAATATACGTCTTACTCTTTACTCTGAGTGTCTTCTATGACTGTAAAAGTGCCGTTACCGGCGTCTGCATCAAAGCTCCGCCCACTTCTGTGTTTTTCCCCAACGCAGGACAGGACGTAAGAGACGCACATGTTTGGAACGTTACGAATGTGATTGATAACGCAGATGTGTGGATGCAAATTATTGTATAAACTGAGGAGGGGAAATATTTGGATTTAAAAAAAACAGGCATGGCACATGGACATGGCACCACAGTCAAATGACATCTGTGTTTTACTCAGTAATGTTTTACTGACACTTAGGTGACTGCACATGCGCAAACAACCGCGCTCAGTGCAGGAAAGCTAAACCACGATAAACTTGTCAGCGAGTTGCCACCAATTTTCCGGACTATGCATCCCTGGCCGATTCAGTTCAGTGCAAGTCATCAGAGTAAACTCGGGTAATGACAAATTTACATAGGTAATTGTGTTGTATTGTGCTATATTGGCTCATGCGGTTTTGCATGTACATAAACATACATTGTAGATATAAAGAATATTTTTTGAAATATATGATTTGCATTTTTGTAGTAGGTAGATCCTTTTGACTTGATCCTTTTATAAGTAGCTCGCATGCTGAAAAAGTGTGAGCACCCCTGCTGTAGAGGATCAGGATGTCTACAGTTTCAACAAAAAACTACATACATTACAAGAGAGTAATAAACATGTCTCAGAGTGAGGGAGGTGGACGCAGACAACACTGTTGTTTGTTACAGGGATGAGAATTGGTCAAAAAAGTCTGAAATGCATAATGTCAGCCATTTGCTGGCTCTAAATCTGTTTAATTTTTTCACAACATTTTACTTTTGGGCTCAAACATGAACTTTTAATGCAATGGAAAATTTAGGCACCCGAGCTTTAATTTAGTCGCACTTCGAGAGGAGAGGGGAGACGCGGACTGTTTCCTGCAGCGGTGTATTTATTGGGTGCACAAATTACGCAAAGACACGCATGGTCCTGTGCACGTTTATGGTCTTGGGTACATGGTCACGTTGCGGCTACGCGCTCACCGTGTTGTGTTGTGAGCGGCTCCCGGTGAGCGGTTCCCGCGTCCAGCTCAGAGCCGCTGGATGCCGGAACACTGCGGCCGCTGAGGTGGTAGAATCCCGTTCGAGTATATACAGCAGGTGCCCCGCGGACACGCGCGCCCCCTCGAACAGTTCTCAACGGATTTACACTTTTCACAAACATCTTTTTTGTATGAGGCAAACAGACCGGCCCAAATATGGGCATCGGCCCTTCTGGCATTGCCCGGTACGCCCGATGGCCAGTCCAGCCCTGGTTCCACTACATTATTACAGGATATTACAGAAGAGATGAAAATCAAGTTATTTAGAGTACTGTTAGAGTAGAGTATCTGGAAGATTTTTTTGCATCAATTGTTAATTTAAAGTATTCACTTTTTTATTTCACAGAGTTATTTAAAAATTATATTCGTTTGATTGAAAAATAGCTTGGGTTATTAATGGTATTTTAACATTATTTAGTAGTGAACTGAACTGGAGCGAAGCTAAATAGTACTGCAGACCCATTTACAAATCAATTGTAAGACTGCTTTAAGGTCATTGCTTAGAGTAACATTTCAGGCAATAGAACTCCGATGTGCATCATATGTGTATTATTTTATTGTGGCTTTCATGAACTAATTTCATGTTTTTGATATTGTTTTGTCTGGTGCACACTGGGTACCTCTCCAATGGGGTTTTAAACTTCAAATTGCTAAAATTGCAGTGGGAAATTTAGAGGATACCGTAGCATTTTTTCTGAAGGGGAAGAGGTTAAGGCTAATATTTCAAACACTTACATTATTGGTCCTCTATTTGTCAATCTCTAAAATAGCTGTCCAGTGTAACATGAAGCTGTACCTGGCTGCACAGTAAATTTTCTCTCTGGCGTGCAGTGGATGGCACAGCCGAAGTCGATGAACCTGGCCCTGGGTCCTTTTAGTCCGCTCTCAATCAGGATATTGTCGGGTTTTATGTCCCGGTGGAAGACACCCTTAGCCTCAAGCTCAGCACCTGCATGAACCAGCTGTCTGAACAGAACCTAGAACCAGAAAATACTGTAATTATAATAATCCATCAATTGTATAGAGCCCTTTTTTGAACAATCAAAGACGCTTTACAAAACATACAAAAAAAAATATATATTGATGAACAAAAGACTCACTAGCACACTCTATAATGAAACACACCGGACACACCCCTGCAGACCCACAGACCGGACCAGTGAATACAAAAGGTTGGAACGAGCCATCAACATTGTGTTAAAGTGTGGTGGAAATGTGAGCCAATGTAGGAACTCTAATCAAAAACAAAATATTAGGATAGACCAAAAACTGCAGTTATTCCACTGTGGTCTTACTGCAAATGACAGATCAACTGAATCTTGAATGTCCCGTTGCCAGATTGGCTACAATTTTGTCAACTGTAAACTAAAAACGTCTTAACTAAGATATTAAAATATATTAATTTATTAAAAATATATTACAAATAATTGTAAATGTTTTGCAGTTAATCCATTCTCAAATAAAACTGACAGAGGACAATAAATACATGCATGTTTAAACTGTTTTGAGAAAGATTTTATGGACATTGACACATGTTTTGTAGGCATGATGAACCTTATTGGCCATTTGGACCTTAATTTGACAGCGTGATATTTCTGTAGTTTTTTTCTACGGCTTTTAATTTTATTAATACTAAATCTGGAATGAAGTTTTCAAATTTGATTGTACATTTCTATTTTTTCTAAGATTGAAACCGCTCTCAAGAGGCAATAACTGATTGGCACTGGTAATAGGCTGTGTTCATGTCTTGTAATGTAATGATAAATTTTCAATGTTTGCCCATATCATTTTTGATAGTGATTAGATTCAGAAAGCCTCCATATTATTCTCATGTCTGATCATTCTTCCACTGGTCATCATCATGACTACATTTTTCGTCAGTACTTATTGACACCTTTATAAGAACATATTTGGACCATAATTGGATTAGACCGGGAAATTAGCTCTACACCAAGACTACATTTCTGACAGTTACCATAGATACCAGCAGAATATTTTACGCTTCCCTATGCCTTAATGTTAATCCAAAGGCTATTTTTATGTCACATGAACACACTTTTCCATGAAATCTAGATTTGAAGGCAAACCCTGAAAGTAGGGGTAGTACGGTGTGGATGTGTAATTTTTGCACAATCATAGTGGCAACCCTGGAAAAGCCATGTTCCAGCTTCTTCCCTCTGCCAGACAATATAGTTAGCTGAGAAGTAGAACATTCTTTCCACAATCTGTTATCAGTCTGAACAAAGCACTTCAATGATTGTGCACCTGTGTTTATTGACTGGTTTCACCGTGACACTTGTTTCTTGTACTTTGTAGCTGTTTTTAAATTTCAAATTTGTTATACTCCGGGGGATTTTTGCACATTTATTCCAATGTGGTTTTACTGCAAGAGGCAATTAAAATGAGTCTGAATCTGAGTTGTACACCACTTACCCGGGCCTCCTCCTCATCCAGTGTGTGACTTTCTTTCCTTTCAAGGTATTTGTGTAAGTCCATGCAGTGGCGCGGCCTCTCGAGGACTATCACAACAGTTCCCCCCATGTTGTACCAGTTCAGGAGGCGAGGGGTGACGTCGGAGTCTACGGAGTTAGGACCGGCCCCCAAGTGCTGGATCATGTGCACCTCTATTGGGATTCGTCGCCGACCATTTGGACCCTTCTGTAAGATAAACACACAAACAAATTGTCAACTGACCACAATCCATCTGACTAGTTTTTAGCATGCATTTGTTTTTGACCTCTATAATATCGTTAGATCAGCTTTTCAAGGTTCAGCTTCTTTGTCCCCTTTTCAAAGTGTTATTGTATACAAACAAACAAGACATTCACAACATGAGGACAAACAGATATGCCATAGTATTGCAGTGTCCCACCAGTGCAATGATACCGATCAATACTTGTTAAAGACCACAAAAAACCATTAAATTACAAACAATGAATAAAGTTAAAATGTGCCTGTACAAAGTGCTTGTACAGTTGGAAACACAAACACACATGAAGACGGGCCACTCTCAGCCAACCAGCTTTCAGCCCAAAGAGTCTATAGCAACTTGCATGGCTCTTTCTTATGTACGGAAAATATATTGTTAGTTTGAGTTTCTTTAGAATCATGCTTATTTCCATTTTCGGTAAGGTTTAATGAAAAAATTAGTCCAAAATAGCTCAGATTTGTCAAAATGTGTCTTAATTTGAGCAAAATTTACAATAAGACAAGCAAAATTTCTTGTATTAAAAATATACAATATGCTCTCACAGACGGAGAAGCCACCCGCAGGAGGATCAGTGAGGGGCTGGTGCTTTTTGATTTGGGTGCAGACTCTGACAAGCCACTCATCTGCTAATATGGTGAAGCTTTGTTGAGAGAAAAATTAAAAGATTTCCATTTGCAAACTTGAGCAGACAACACAATCATTTTCAATTCAATTAAATGTATTCTTGTATACAGCCCTGAATCACAACAGTAGTTATCTCAGAGGAATGAACAAAACCGTTGAAATCGTCAACACAGATCAGAGAATCAAAAAGTTCAAACACAAAAAATATTGAACACATGGTATTGGTCCATAGGGAGAGTCGACTAATGTCAATCAATGTTGATAAATGTCCATAAATGTTGAAGAATGTTAGAGTGTCCGGGATCATGACCACAAAAAAAGACAGTTATTTTAAGTTTGAATATACTCACACAATGGTGGTAATTGATGTCAGAGTCTCGAACGGCCTTAAGAACAACCTTTAAAAAAATAAGATAAAAATATGCAGCAAAAAAAGATGGATGCAAATGGATCATCTTCAATTTCATATTATGAAGCTGGAATTTACCGGAAACTTGTCGGCAATACGAATGCCAGCGTAGACGCGTCCAAAGGCCCCCCCTCCAACATACTCATGCACCTTGTACTTTTTGCTGATCACTTTATCTGCAAACACAAAGATGAAATGCATAACAATGTGCACACATGAAACACAACGATGCCAGACTGACCTTCTAGAACCCTATCTTTGACGTTCCTCCATCTGATTTTTCCTATAAGGGAAGATAAAGTTGTAATCTTTCACCTCTACACCTCTACATTGAAATGATTTGCTCTTCACCATTATTGGCTGCGGCAGTACTTGGTTCAAAAGCCTCATTTATAAAGAAATGGAATTCCTGGAGTTCTCCACTGCCGCCTGTCTCACTGGTAGAAGTGGAATTATCTGCAAGACGCACAAAAAAGAACGGACAACAGTTGGCGGTTACAGCAGGATGTAGTTTGTTGGCTAAGCTTACAAGTTACACGGGATAAACATTCAATTTATTATAGTTTAGGAAGGTTCGTTTAGCTTGTCTTAGTTGATTAGTATTCCCTCAAATCATGTCAAGGTCATACAATCTCTATCTCACATATGTCTGGTAAAGAAGAACCAAATAACTCAACACAAGAACTCCTTGAGCCTTTAAATTTGAGTTACTGTGAGTTACTGTTGACCCATTAAATCAAACTGATTGTGTGGGAATTACATGGGTCTAAGATATTTTTTGTTCTCTATAAATGCTCTGAAGTATAACAGGCATGTCCAAACCACAGATATATATATCATCATTCTATACCTTGTTGGGAAAAACTCTTTGGAGTCCAAAATCTATGGCACTAATGTAGTAAGTATTTTATAAGTAAGTCATTCATACAGTGCATTTCACAGACAACAGTCACAATGTGATTTACAATTTTTGTGGGCTTTTGTCTCCGCACAGAGATGGGAGCAGGTCGCCTATAGGAGGTGCATGCCAGACCTTTTGTTTGTTTTTTTAGTGGTATCGAAGCACAAGCACAAGCGCTAACCACTGCGCCACCGTGCCCCCATGTTAAAGCCCAGAACAGCTCAGATCCCATAAAAACAGCTTTACAATCCATGTTTTCTGCTCTGGACACAATACTGATGAACTAAAGTGGCCCTCTTACTCAAACTATAATACCCTTCTTTTCCTCAAATAAAACGTGAACAAAACAAAAAAAAACGCCTTTGCACCTAATATACTTACGCCAGTTGTATGACATTTTATCTAGATTTGACATATGGACATAAATGTTGAGCTCAGTCTAATGCAAGCATATGTATGCAATATTTGTGTTTTCTAACAAGATAAACACATACAAACACTGTTGTGGTCTGATTCATTGGTCTCTAAATTTTACTTTTACAAGACTTTTGTTTCCATTAGAACAAACTACGTCCAGGACTTCCCTGGTTAAATTAAGCTGGGGGCTTTAGATAAGATAAGATGTACAATATTAATCTCACACAGGAGAAATTTACAATTTAGCGTTGGTGAAGGAGTGTTTTTACCTGGTGAGGTCCTGGTTTCATTCTCTTCTCTTGGACTGTGGGACTCTGTGGGTGGATTGGTCCCGTCCTCACTGGTGTTGTCTGGTTTCCTCTTGGGGGCCTCCTGGACTGGTCTCTGTGGCTCCCAAGACTTTGGAGACAGGGGCCCCTCTCTGTCCATCTCAATCAACTCTGGACATGACTCCCAGCCTGGAACACAAGCAGAGTTATGGAATGTAACACGATATAGAGCAGCGGTGGCTACCTAGTGCTCAGACCAAATGACCCAATGACATAAAAAAAAGAACAATAATGCTAATAACCCTTACCCTATTTCTTTGTTCCACAAATTATTATTGTTTTTGTATATATAAAACTAAATATAATATACATACAATATAAATAAACTATATACAGTAAAATAACCAAAAACATGTACAATAGTCCCCGGTAACTCCCTCCCTGACCTTGGTCCCTTCCCCCGTCTGAGACCAGTGGGTATTTCCTGGTTAAATAGAGGTCAAAATGAATATAAATTATGATTTCCAAACATTAAAAAGAGCACATTTGTGAACTCATTTTATTAGATTTTATGTTTTAATTAAAATACTGTAGATAGTAGTGACCAGATAGTTAACCTCAGTTGCGTCTTAATGGAGATGGATATTTTGATTGGATTTACTGACCTTGAAGGGCCCATATTACGGTTTTTGACTTTTCTCTGCTTTAAACATGATTACAATGCTAAAAGACGTAACTCGGACCCCCTCGATCTGTAAGTAGTGACGCTAACTCGCTGTATACTTCTGTAAACTAAATAACTAGGGTCTGATTGTGCATCGAGGACATAGGGCTCGATGTGACGGATTGTCATTGTTGGAAAAAGTTTATTCTTATGTATGAAATTACTAAGTACAGGTGATAAACGACAAAAGCGTGATGCTACGTCACCGTGCGGGCGGGGGGAGGCGGGCTCACAGGCAGAGGAGCAGACTCTTCTCTGGATCAGCTCGTTTGAGTCGAGGTGACGTCACCTCTATACAAGAGATGGCTCTAATCTCACAAGCTTTGATTGTTGTGTGGTGTATCATACACATTAATATCACACATGTGTATAGGATTGAGTGTGAGACATGAAGAAAAGCGTGATATAGGACCTTTAAGCGACCACTAAGCAGTTCAGACTTTGTTTCTTAGAAAGATTGTTCACTTTTGAATTAAAGAAGCTATACCCGATTTTTTTTCTAAGTAGTTCATAAAAATACTGTTTACTACATACAAGTTGCATCATAATACATAATTTAATTGAAAACTTGAGGTCATTGATTCCACTGTGTATGAAATTCAGGCAGTGAAAAGTGCTGAGTAGAGGCTGAGCGGGCCGCTCTTTCTCCTCCGCTCACAGAACGAGCAGCGACCAGCCTGCGTCCTCTAGCCCCTACAGCGCTGCTTAACACCAGGGCTTCGACTTCAAAATTCGAATATAATTCTAAAATAAAATATATACATATTTGAACAAATATTAGACAACCCTTATAATTAGAAATGTATTTAATGACTGCAAATAAAATAGTTAGCTCCCAAAGGTTTCACCGGGACGTGCTAGGCAGGTAACAGCTAAGCTAGCTAGCTGTTTCATGGTAACTTCCGGGTTTTTCGCGATCGCTTTTTGTCACTTTAAAACAGTATTTTTGTCATGAAAACGTTGACAGCAAATTCTGAAATCGTCCGTGCATGTGTGTTAAGGATGTATATGTGTACTGTATTGTCCGATTGACGTTTAATGGTGTTGATTGATTGATATGTATTTGTTTATTGAGCGTGGCTAGCTCCGCTAGCTTCTCTACACAGACAAGTGTGCAGAAAAACTGCACAATGTAGTGACAGGCGCTGATAGCTTGTTGTACTTGCAAAGTAATGGCAGTATTTTACACACCTGAATTACAAACAGAGATTGCATTGGGGCTGCGGTCATTATTGGTTTGAGAGTTCTGTTATCAAGAAAAAATGATCGGAAGAATTGCATTCAAGTCAATGGAGTGCTGCTGCTGTGAGGAGCTGTATAATAAATTATAATTAAATATTAGAATATATTCTAATGTTTAAATGAATACATTCGGACGCGAAACTAATGGTATTCTTTTACTTATATATTGTGTTAGCAGTGCATTGCTTTAGTACCATTTCATCAGTGATTGTTGCACAGCTTACAAGTTGCGCTAATGCTAATGTTAGCATATGTATCAGATCGCAAATAAAACTAGGTGGCTCCGTGTTATGAGAGCGTAGGGGAAATGAGAAGCCTGTGAGTGAGTTGGGGGGCGGTGCTAAACATTCAAACATTGCAGAAACGGGTATAGCGCCTTTAATATTATAAAACACAAATGAACAACCACTCTAGAAAGGTGAATGAGTAAACTGTACCCAGCAAATGTTTCCCAGCCCTGATATTGATCTTAAATTATGTAATTAAAAGAACAAGTGCATACTGCATATATATTCTGTCCTGTCGTTTCGCTCCGTGCTCTGCCACCTGTGACGTCACCGGGGTCACATGACATGCCCCTGATTGTGTGCTTCTTCACACAAACATGAGCGCTTAATGATCTCAATCTGGACCTGAACCAGCCCGGACCCGTGGGCTACACGCCCTTCCCGCCCAGAGTCGCCTCAGTCCTGTTCTACAGCCTGAATTCTGGATCAAAAGTGGACCCGGTCAAAACTGCACCCCTGCGTGTGGACCTGCCTGAGGTTTCTCAATTTTCTCCCACTGAGTTTTTGGACTTTTTCCATGTCGATGCAGGAGGGCCAAGGAAAGTGGTGAGGATCCGTGACACTTGACATTCAACAACATTTATGAACCAATGGCTCTATGTCATCTTTTAGTAAGTAATCTTTATTTATAAAGCACCTGTTTACAGACCAAGGTCACCCAAAGCGCTCTGCAATGTTCAGAGTTCAGATATTTATTCATTCTCTTCACAAGCGGTGACAGAAGCGAGACACTGGCATCAAAGCCCCAGTCAACACCATCCATTTACTCTCATTTTATTCAGACCTATTGTTCATGTTAGTGGTACGGGAAACCAGAGCCAGGAGGAAACTTAAGCAGATAGAAGGAGAACATGCAAACTCCACACAGAAAGGCCCTTTTTGCTTAGAAGCGAGAGTGCTATCCTATGTTTTTATAGTGTCTATGTATTTTATATTGTTGCATTTTATCTGTTTAATTATGTGATCTAGGTTGGTGAATTGACAGCTTTTTAAAGTCTTTTGAGATACCGGGCAATACAAAAATGAACGGAATTGAAGTAAATGAGAGCAGAGCGTACGTGTGAATACTTGAATTTCAGTCTCCTCTCCACTTGATCTGCTGGATCTGAGCTTTGGTGGTCTGCTCTCATTCTTGCACGCATCGGTCGATTTCCTCTTGCGGCTGAGAATGCGGGCAAACTTTCTGGTCGTGTTGGACACTCGGCCCCAGGTGCTGAGTTCGGGATCAGTGACTGAGTCGGTATCAAGTCTCTGTGGTCTCCATAGTTCCGGAGACCACCGCTGACTGAATTCTAGACACGACCTCCAGTCTGAGACAAAAGAAGAAAAGGAGAAAACAGCTAAAACATGGTCAAACAATGTCAAAAAGATGCCACTTGTGCTGTCCCCTATCAATAAAATCATTCTAGTTTTTGCTTAGGAGGTTCAAGACAAAAATGTGATTAAGCTAGATTTACTTAATTACCAAATACAAGTTGTACTACCTTTTATATTTTACATGTTTTGTCTTAATAAAAGAACCTTCTAAGCTTTAAACCCAAGACGACAGAAGGAACTTTTTACATTAAATACACTCTACTTGAATAGAAGATGAAGTCGCTTGCATTGCTTTTCATCTTGTTCATACTTTTTTTCTTTTTTTTAAAAATCTTTATTTGAATTGGGACAGTGCACATCAATCAGAATTTGTTTTTTCAACATTTAAATGAGCCAGAGTGAGCCGTGTAGGCTATTATTCTTCTTAAGTCCCATGGCAGGTTGATATCAAGACAGATAAAATAGGACATACAACAGGAACAAACACACAGAAACACACCATCACAAAGACATGACAAAACAGGGTAGCACGAAACATGTGGTAAAATATGTAAAACAGGTAAATTAGCACAGATAAATGATCAGAGGGACAATACACAAAACACCACAATTACATAATACATTAACTATCTAATGTTTATTATCTGAGGCATTATTGGCTCTCATAACAGTTAGTTCAGCATGCGTTTCCTCATGTATTTTGGCCACTTCAATTCAATTCAATAATCAGCTCTCAGCCCAAAGTGACAAATAGTGACTTTATTATTGCTGAAGAACAGTTACCTTGTGTCTCATTAAATGTGTTGTCCTCTTCTTTTGGACTTTTGGACTTGAGCCGTGTTGGAGGTCTGTCCTTGTTCAGTCCGCTGGGTCCAGGCTCAGGGTCGGAATCAGAAGAAGGGCTCGTCAAGCCTGAAATATATGAGGAGTTTACAAAGTGAGTATGGTTTTTGCTTTTAAACTGGTAATTAAAAGCATAAATGTAAAGATGTGGCCCTCTGATGCAATAAAAGCTGTTTCTATCAAAGATATGAGCAGCCGAACTGTTCTCTTTTATTATCAATCACCTTTTCAATCTGAAGAGACCAAAGACACGATTAATACAATAAAATAATTTATTTGTTTGCCGCATTGACCCCGGCAGTTACACTTGCAGCAATGAGATCGATTGCAGCTGAAGATGATCTCAGATCCCCCGGGGTCAATCACTGGTGGTGGCTAGAGTATGGTGTGAATGGGGCGGAGCAGGAGCCAGAGCAGGAGCCAGAGCGGGAGCCAGAGCGGGAGCCAGAGCGGGAGCCATAGCGGGAGCCAGAGGGGGTGCTGGGGAGGTGGTGGGTGTTTAAGAGCCTCAGGACGCGTTGCTTGTCAGGAAGTGGCTGCCTTTTAAACTGCCCGCTTTGCTGTGAGAGGGTTGGCAGGAGGCTGGCCCGGCTGTGTGATTGGCTGAGGCTCGAGGCTGACAGAGCTGTGTGATTGGCTGAGGCTCGAGGCTGGCAGAGCTGTGTGATTGGCTGAGGCTCGAGGCTGGCAGGCACTCGGTCTTTCAGTCTGAACCTGCGCATTCAGCTTCATTAGTCTTTTATCCCCCCACCCGACCATGTTTAATTATTTAGGCCTACTTCCGTTACTTCCGAATACATCCGTTTCTCCCAGGGTCCTCAGAGTACTGAAAACAAGATTAAACAAATCAAATCTACAAATGTGTTTGTTTTTTGCGTTCTTTTCAGTGGGGGCGGGTCCCGGCTCAAAAATGTCCAAAATGGCTAGGACCTTCTTGCTGAGAAGCAAGGGTGCTATCCACTCAGCCACCGTGCCGCCCAAGCATCTTAGCATCCTCTCTCCTCTCAAAAACGTCTTTACAGGATGGTCCAAAAGTCGGCTCTTGGCCCAAAGCTACGTTCCAGTTGTCTGTCAATGCTGAGGGGAGTATATTATTTTGGACCAAATGTGTTTTTTCATAGATGGTGAAAGTGGTGGCACATTAGTTTGAACGGTGGAGATGGTTCTTGTATGTCCTTTTTTTAAATTATTTTTTTATGAAAAGCCTTATTTTTTCAGAATAGAGTGTGAATTGTTACAGCTGTACCACAAAGGGATACTATTTTTCAGGGGAGACTTGGTGTTTTAAAAATAATCGTTTAGGCTTTTAGAACCTGAGCCATTGTTTGGAACCCTTCCGATTATTTCAATAATCCTTGTGATTATTTTCCTTTCTTAGTTGTGGTTCCCAGCTGGGTGGTGGTTGCAGGGTGGTCTACATATATGGACTGTTTTTGTTACAAACGTTATCACTATATTGAATTGCATTCTGTGAATTGTATATGTAGGGGTCACGAGTTGCATCTCTATTTTGGGGGTCCCAGTCTGAAAAGTTTGGGGACCCCTAAGCACAAGAGAGATGAGTCTTACACAGCCACAGTAATCAGCTTGTTGCCCCGGTCCCGATATCACAGTTTAGAGGAGGGGCTACATTTATGTTTTTAAATGGATAAGCAGATAAAGGATCTCAAAAGCAAAGAACCAGGTTACCTTCTGTCTTAGTAACGCTGTATTCCTCTACTCTCACACTGTTGGACTTGAGCCATTTTGGAGGACTGCGCTTGTTCAGTCCGCTGGGTCCAGGCTCAGAGTCTGAATCAGAAGAAGGCCTCTTCAAGCCTGAAATATACAAACAATTTGTATATAACAAGTGCAACTTAATTAAATGGATAATGAAAATGCCATTGGTCAAACTTTATTTCTATGTATGTACATTATGTATTTCTTCACTCATATAATTGAGCACACATGGATTTAACCCTTTAAGCGCCAAAGTCGCAATATTGCGACAAGCAACATTGCTCACTTAAACAGGCTGTATCTAAAAATGTGGTGCAGAATCTTGTTAATACTTTTCACCAGGGGTTAGTGGACATGTGTGCCTGTAATATGAGCAGCATTTGTGGGTGTGGTTATATTGAAAGTTTTTGAGTAAATTGAGTTTGTAAAACACCTGCGGCGCAGCGGCGTGAAGGCGAAGCAGCAGCGGTAGAGCTGAGAGGAGCGAGAGCAGAGCAGAGGGAAAGAGTGTTTTTTATTTTACTCACGAGGTCTTCAGTACCAGAGAAGTACTTGGTCTGGTACTGGCTCACTCAGATTCAGAGGAGGAAGACACACAGGTGTCCAGTGAAGCAGACACGGACATTATTGGTGACGGGGAGACAGCGCTCCATAGTCCACAATCAGCCCCTGTACAGCGGCTGCTTGTCCTCCGTGTGGCCGCGGTAGAAGCATTTTGTGAACGCCAAGCAGGGGCCGTGGTGGAGGGGACAAGGGGATCATAACACCGGGCATGTGGGAGAAAGTAGTGGGGATAGACATCCACGGGGAACACGGGAGACGCGGGAGAAGGCGCGGGAGAGCCGCGGGAAAAAAACACATCGCTTTTCGCGTTCACTGCCTTTACCAACAGCGATGATGAGGATGAAGGCAGTTCTTGAGAGAAAATAATCCAAAAAAGTGGATCAGAAGTGTTGAAGAGCCTGTTGTTTATTGTTGAGACGATCTGACAAGTTCTGAGCCCATTCATTTCATCTCTCTGTTTCTAAACGGTAAATCCTGGAGCCTCATTTCCACTGAGAAAAATAGTAAGCCCACTACTTCTCTGAAAGGGAAATATTGAAACCAATCTCAAGATTTCATGACTGTAAACTATAAAGAGTGCTGTCTTGATCACTGAAGGTCTTTGAAAATAATGCAATTCCATATGGCCGCGAACCAGTGCTAAAACATTATCTATAATCTGGATCAGGGAATTTATTTCTATCCCAAATTCATTTCATACTAAAGATATTTCACATTGACTGTTTATAGTATTCCCTGATCTCAAATAACTCCCAAGCTACAGCTTTTTGAAGTCTTTATACAATAATTAACATTTTCCAAAATGGCCGCCACCTTGATGACGTCACAATATGCAAATTAGATGACGAATCAACTTCCATCCCAAAGTTTGGTTCAAACTGAAGATATTTCTAATTTACAGTATGCCTTTATCTCAAACCATTTTAAAGTTATAGCCTTTTGAAATCTTGAAATCAAAATTGTATATTTTCTTGAAAAAACTCTGGCGCCTAAAGGGTTAATTTATGAAAACTGTAGTTTATTTAATATTAGGAAATATGGCAGATATTGCGATGAATAAACATTAAACTGTGACGAATGAATATTAAACATAAAATGGATTGGAGCCCAAAGTGGAAATTGGTGAGAACCCAAAGTGCTGTTCAATTTTTCAACCACCCGAAAATTGTGGCTCTTTTGACTATTTAGGTGTACAGAAGGATTTTCCCAAATTTGAGGAAAGAACTTCCCTCACTGGACAGTATTTGATGAGGACGTATCAACAGAATGATTAACAATTAGGAGGACCAAAAGTTTATGATCCACCAAGAAGTAGAAAATTGTAGAACGTTGGTCATCTGCCCCTTATGGACCAAGGGCTCTATGTGTTTGTTATTATTGTTCAAACTGGACTCTCTGATCTCTGTTGGTGATTTAACAACTTTGTGAAGTCCTCTAGGCTAACTGCTGTTGTGATTTAGGGCTATACACAAAGAAATAGAGTTTTGAAATGTTGCAAAATGTATTTGAAAATAACCAGGGTACATAAATTGCAGAAAAACTGTTTAATCTCACTCTTCTTGGAAGCTTCCGCCGGCCGCGTGTTCTTCATGAAGACTTCTGAGGACAAAAATGGAAAACATTATTTAAAGGTTTTCAGCTGCCAATGAATGAACAGTACACAGTCATTAAGTGCTAAAGAGCAATAACTAAAGCTCAATGTCATCTTGTGTTAATGTATGACTTTATAAATGTCGTTAGCTGCTGATAAACTGAATGTTCTTTTTCTTTAGCTAAATCATTTCCATCTATCCATCCAAAAGCTGATTCCAAACTTAAACATTTGTGCAGTGTTGTATAAAATCACAAAATCTTACCAGTTATTCAAATACACCAGACAACGTGAACCGGTTTCATATTTTACAATACATGAAATAATGTTGTTGTTTTTTTTTTGAAAGATGCGCTGGGAAACGCCTGCAAGTCCTAAGTAGCTCTGAAACAGTTGTTGTTTTCTGCTTTACAATATTTATTTTTCTACCTGAGACGTTGCTGCAGCACAGTGTTTGTGGTTTTACACTGGTCCAGACCGGAGCAGAGAGGATTCAGGGTCCGAATCAAGCGTATCAGCCGAAAATTCACTGGAGGACTGCTGACGTTTTGAAAAATGCGAATGAAGCATTTAGCATTTTACTTTGGACTAGAGCAGAGAAAATGGTCCGAACCAAGCGGCTACTCCACCTTTTGACCTCTGCTGCTACGACCCGTCCTGCTCCACCAAGCGGCTACTCCACCTCTGCTGCTGTGACCTGAAGGGTTGTTGCTTATTATTAATATTGTTATCTTTTTAGAATGATCCATTTTGTTTTTATTTTTGCTGCTACTGGACACATTAATCTCTCATACGGAGATCAATAAAGTATCTATCTAAACCGTTTGTCTGAGGATGGGGATCATTGGGACCTGTCCTGTAACATACTCTCTTCATATTAATAAGGTATTGGAACATGGGAGACAATCTTGAAGTTGGGACTTCCCTGGGTAAATATGGTGATGATCTTAGTTGTTTTCCTTTTCGTGAGAATCTGAAAAACTGACCAGGAGACAGAACAGATCATAGCTCTGCTGCTAACTTTGCTCTAAGATTCTGCCACACTCTTTTTAATTTACAGAGATTATTTATGTTACATCTGCGTATGATTGTAATGTCCTTGCATGATTTTAATGTTTCCTTTCTTGTTCCGTAAAGCACTATGAGAACCATGTGCCACACAAACGAGCTCGCTTTGCCTTCCAAACACAATGTTTTACTTTGCACAAAAAGAAACAGCCCTCATATTGAATATATCTATATATCTATTTATCTATATATCTAAAGGCCACATCTACACTCTACATGCAATCTTGGTCTATAAATGACAACTGTGCAACACAAATCTACTCTGTGCAAAAAGAAACAGCCCTCATATTAAATGGACGAGTAAATTTGGGGGTTGATCCGAGTCTTTTGTTCCAGCCTTCACTTTGACACAGGCCTGTTTTAATCACAGTTAATATAAAGCTGCTGAGCCTGGACCCATCTGTGGTACCACTTCACCCCAGTGCGTCGGGCTAAAGCCTGGTCTTGGACCGTCTTGTCATCTGGAGGTAATTATTAGCATTATCCAAGATTACATACGTGGACGTCCCAGTCTTTGTGTGCTCCTCAGCTCCAGGACAGGGGCGGATGCAAGCGGCCATGATGAGACGTCCTTGGACCTCATGGTGATAATAGTGGTTCTGAAAGATAAAGTGTGTTGGCACTGTTTCAATCATTATGACCTGCAGCTTCTTTGGAATTCACTGGAAACAGCAGCAATTCCTAAGTAGCTTTGAAATAGTCGTTGTTTTGGGCTTTACAAATATTGTTGTTATTGTTTTTTACTGTAATGCGGTACAGTGTTCTTGGCTTTACACTGATCCAGACCAGAGCAGAAGATGCATGATCTAAACCAAGCAGATCGAGCAGATGTACGCTCTTGTGAAAAATTGTTATAAAGCATTCAAAATCTCACTCATTACCTGTGTCTGCACCACCTCTGCTGCTGTGACCTATAGTGCTGATTACTATTGTTCGTAACTTTTAGAATTACTGTATGTATTCATTTGTTTAAATAGATGGATGTGTTTCGGCTGCTGGACACCTGAATAATCTAGCATGACGTCATTGATACATATTTCCTCTTATATTTTTGATAAGCCCTAAATTACAACAGCAGTCGTCTCTGAGAACTTTACAAAGTTGTCGATTCACCAAATATAGATCAGCGAATCAAACAATGTGAACACCGGAACAGGAAATACAATAAGTACAAACACATAGAAGCCATAGGTTCATATGGAGCAGGGCAACCACTGTTCATGTCCATAAATGTCCCGGATGATCACTCCTCCACTTATGGTGGTGCTTGGATCATGCGTTGCGTCGGGTTTCAATGCAAAGTCTATGGTGACGCGCATTCGGCCTTTGCAACGCACAGACCGCTCGGTTCACACGAACGGACTGTTTAGTAGAGACGCACGGACTTGGCGGGAAAGTGAAAAAGGAGGAGCAGGAGCGAAAAATCAACGCTCTCAGCAGATGGATTCTGCTCATCCTTTCCTTGGGACGTTCGTGCGACAACCAATCAGAGAGCAGCAAAGTGGTCACGGGGACATTAGCGGACTGAGTGAGCAGACTGAAAATACTCATAAACAGCCAAAACAGGACCCACACCAGACTTCACCAGAACTCAAACCAGGGTTGACAATGGGGGACTCTGTGCTTGTGAAAATATGCGTTGTCATGCTCCCGTGACCTTATGCAACTGCTTCGAGTGTGTTCGCCGATGCGGAAATTCCGTTTAATAATGAAAAAACGTATGGCGCACCTCCGGGAACACATACTACTGTTATATAAAGCCCGTGGAATGTCTCTGTTCAAAGACACGCTGCAAAGCTGCATATTGGAGAAGATCTGTACACAAGAAGCCGCTAGCATAGCTCTGTTAGCATCAGAGCCGGCCGGCTACTTCCGGTACTTCCTGCTCGCGTCAGGACGTTCGGGTGTGAAGTCCTCTGTGTCTGAAAACTAGAGAATGCGCGTCTGGTGAGCGGGGCTTCAGCGTTTCAGCGTTGGCGGTGTGAAAGCACCATTAGACACTCCTCCATCGACAAGGAATGACCAAAAAAAAATGTGTGCTGTAGATCCAGGACTCGATCCAGGACTGGAGCTGTGTGTTGCAGGACTGAGGAGGCTCCTGCGGCCAGTCCGAACTCTTGAGTGTTTTTAAATGTTGCATTTCTTGTGTTTGAACTATTAGCTTCTCTGATCTGTTTTGGCGAATCAACAGTTATTAAAGTCCTCCAAGATAATACTGATGTGATTTAGGACTATACATAAAAGAACATTGAATTTAATTGTAGGTGAAGAGAAGAAGGTTATACAATTCACACAAAATTCAGTCACACAAAGGACAGTACTGTGCAGAGAGTGAGTATTGTCACTAAAGAGTTTGGGCTTTAACACATGCTGCTTTGCTTTATGAAGTTGTCGTGGTAAAACTTTTTTTAAAATGTTTATATTGCTCCACGCTGCTGATAAAGTCTATTATAATGTGATTCCCTCTGGTCCTGGGAGCAATGTGCTGTGCCTTTAAAAGTGGTTAAAATGATTTTTAACAACTGATTTGTTTTGACCCTTCCATTTTCCTGTTCCCGTTATTGTTGTGGTGAAGAGTCGACACGGGTCCAAGCAACATGCCAACCTTTCCCCCGGTTGTCGAGCTCGACGCGACAATTCTTTTCAGCACGTTCCCGAATAACAGTCTGAAGGAAAAGGCCTTGTGTCTTCTCTCGTCATATGGCATTTAATTAAGACTCGCTAATGTATTCCAAAGTCTGTTTTAGCACCAGCTTGAATGGCTTTGCCTGCAGTAGTGTTGATTAAAACTTTTTGAATAGCTGCGTAGAGGCACATGAATGAAATCATGTTGCACCAATTTGCACCTATGCAAGCTCCAAACATGCAACAGAAGCTGATCAATTATGCTCACATTAGTTCACTTTGAACTGCTTCTCGGTTACATTCGTTTAGAACCATTTCTCTAGTGTACAAAACATATGCATGTGTAATTATAGTGTATAGTAATGGGTTTTCCATGGTACTTCTCAAAATTGCTTTTTCCATTTCAATTGTGTTTCCAGGAACAATGCCACTTAGAACAACCAGCTTATATTTAAACCCAGGATAAAAAAGTGCATCCCTCAGCTGTTATGGTGGTGGGCTTCTTTGCTTGGTTTATCTAAGGCCCCATTTCCACCAGCCCTACTAGGCACTACCCTACTTGGCTCTACCTGGGTGTGTTTCCACTACACTTAAGCCCTTAATTGTTCGTTCCTTTGAAGAAAGTACATTTTCTACTGTTTTCTAAAAAACCTTTTTAGCAAATGGTTGGGAGTCAGCTTGATGGTAGAAGTACCTTAAACCAAGTGTTATAGATTTCAGTTTCAAGCTCAAGTCAAAATAGTGGTAGAGGAAACCATTAAAGGGTTAATATCTGGTACCGTATCTGAGCAACCTTGGTTAATAAATTCCTTGGTAACCATGGCTCCCAACATAACTCTGGCCAATCTAAATCTATCTGACCTAAAAATAAACTTCACAGAAAACTAAACTTATTTTTTAAAATAAAATAACATCATGTTCCTAGCTTTAAAACAGTTTACACATTGTTACACATTTGGATCAGCTTTTTCAGACAGAAATGTGAAAAAGAGAGAACTACCCCCACTCAGCCAATAAGCTCCCAGCCCAAGGAGTCAAAAGGTGACTCACAGGGCTTTTTCTTACAATTATGCAATAGATTACATGCTTTCTAATAAAATTTGGACAGCAAGTCACTTGGACTCCTGTTGGACTTGTGGGTCTAGAGACTTGAACTTGGACTCCTGGACCAGAGACGTGGACTTGGACTCTTTAACCACAGACTCTGACTTGTGCTTTTTTTTCACAGCTTTCTCAAGACTCTTTCTGATGAGACAAAGAAAGTCATATTTATAAAGGGAAAGAAATTAGGTACACCGGCTTTAATATAGTTAGACTTTGTGGTCTTGGCCTTCGTGTCGCGCCTGTAAATCCGCTGCGTACTCCGACGTTTTAACACAAGAAAATAAACAGCAAATTCCACTGCAACCCGCTAATCACTGCTCCAACTTCAAAAGCTTAATGCAGAGTAGTGTAAACCTTAAAGAATTAGTTTAGCTGCGTCTGTGCGGCCTGATCCCCACTGGCAGTGCGCTAGCAAAATAAACCGGAGCGTGCTGAGAAGACTGGGCTGGAGGACGGCCGAGGCAAATCAATGACATGAGGCAAAATATGCGCAGAAGGCAGTATTTACAGAGACGTTTGGGAGTTGAGTGAATACAGGTTTGTTGATGGGAAGCTACAGGGAGCGGGACCGTAATTTACTCACAATTAAAGCTAGGGAACCAAACCTGAATCAGGATAAGAATCAGAATTGGTTTTATTGCTATTGTGAGTAGCAGAAAGTCACAAACCAGGACATTGCTTTGGGTCTCGGACAGAATAGAATAAGACATGCATACGAAGAAATACAAATATCTACATCTACATAGCCTGTGTCATGGAATTACATACCCCAATGAAGGAAAAAGCTCAAAAGGTATTTGTCTTAATCAGGAGCGTAAGTTTATTGTAACACACGTGCGGAGAGCTCACATACACAAAGCAGCGTACATCAGCTCTGGCGGGGCCAGACACAGGTCCCTGTTTACATAGACAACACATGAAAGACAGTCACGCCCACAAAAGATGGGAGGGGGCCACAGTTTGAGACGGGCATCCGGATGGCGAGGCGCCATGCCTGGTGAGAGACAATCAGATTGTGCCATGGGGATGCAAACAGAGGGACAATAGACATGCAGGATGTAAAAGGTCGATAGAGATGCAGACATACGGACCGATAGAGATGCAAGATGCAAAAGGGGCAAGGGTGAGATAGTAATTTGCGTCATTGTCTGTCGGTGCAGGGGGGAGCCCGGCTCCTTCCTGCAGGTTAATTGAATAGAGCAGCGGGGGGGGTGAGTTGGCGTCCTTGAGGCTAACCAGCTTGCCATAACACTCCTCTCCCGTGATAATGGGAGAGGAGTGTTTCACCCACCTGAATCACATTCAGGTGGGTGAGTTTTGACCTTGGTCCCTGAGCAAAACAAGAGTTGTTGATGGACAGGCTACGCTGCCGTCACCCAAGCCTCTTGTATTACGAGGGTGTGGTCAAAGCTCTTCACTGTGATACCCTCCCCCTAAATTGTAGGCGGAACAAGTGGAAAAATAAAAACAAGGTAAACAAGAAAGAAAAACGTTAGACAAAGTCGTCGTCCGAATCGCTGATATAATCAGGATCGGAGTTCAGTGGGACAGCGGCCAGGTCCGCCTCAGGGTCTTTGTATTGAATGGACACAAAGTGAGTGGATATCATTTTACCAACGGCCCGAAACACCATAGGTAATACACATGAAAATAAAATCATAACAGTCAATAGGGCTAAACCAAGATTAATGAGCACACTCCGCCAGGAGGACAGGAGCCAGTCCAGACCGTGAGGAGTGTCCGTGACATTGTCCGCTTGCATGGCGTCCCGGAGTCTAGTCAGATTGGCTATGCCCTGTTGGATAAGACCTCCGTCCTCATCATTAGCCGGAATATATGAAGACAATACTAACA